GGTGCTCGCGCTTGGTTTCGGTGGATTCTCCCTGTCTGCGCTCACGTCTCCTCCTCGCGCCTGTGCTCCCCATCCCGCAGGTCCGCAGGCTTCTGGAGACCGTGGATGGACGCCCGAGGCGAGGAAGAGGAGAAAGCGCCGCACCACGCCGCGGAGGCGGTGAGTGAGCCGCGCGTGGCCGGGGACGCGGAGCCCGGGGGACACGCACCTGGCCTGCCCCTCGCTTAAGATTGCGTCTGCGGTGGCCCTGCCGGTGCTGACGCGGCAGGTGTGTCCTCCGGAGCGACTGGGCCGTGGGGTCCACATTGCCTGCGGACGCGAGGAACACCGGGTCGCGCACGTTTCCACTTTCTAGAAGGAGGTGGGTAACTGTGATTTATTATCTTTTGTCCCCAGACGTTTGATGTCTCCCGAATGACCGAAGCCTCAGGAAAGCTCTCCCAATATAGACACCCAGTCAGGTGAGTGACAGGCCTCACCAAAGGCCTTCTGCTCCTCCAGCCCCCGGGAAGAGCCGCGGGCATCGCACAGTCCTGCTCAGCAACTGGTCCTGCAGTTTTTCTCTCTTGGAAAATCTGTCTTCAAGGTTACTTATCTTCCCACTCGCAGAGAGGTACGTTACTCATCTAATTGAAAAATGTAGGCGCTCACGCTGTCACCTAAAAAACTTAATCAGCGCATGCTCAGAATATTCTTAAGAAATATATTATGAAGAGGTAAAGTGTGGAAGTAGAATGGTGACTTCGTGTGCCTGCAAAACAGTTTTTTTTTTTTTTTTTAATCCTAGGGGGTACAATGGAATTGACTTCACACCAGAGTGTGAATGTTGTTATTTTCTTGCAAGCCAGAAGGAAAAAATAGGATTAGCAGTTGCAGTGTTACAGCAAGTCAAGCCTGACATGTAAGAGAAAATGGAAATATAATGAAAATCCTAAAGATTACTAAGGATGATCATAAAAGGAGTCATAAGTTATTTGACATATCAGTGAAGGCTAGTTTACTGTTCTACCCACAGGAAGTCTGCCTTTCTGTAAGATTTTTGTAGCTTTTATTCAGGTAAAGGTTAATAATTCTGCAGTTTTCCTGCTTCAGAGAGAGAGCTGTTAAATGAAGAGCTACATAAGGTTTGTAAAGTGTGTATGTGCTACAAATAGCACATAGTAATCAATACGTGTTGATTAATTTCCTACCATGTGCTAGTATTAGTAAAGGACACAGTAAAAATGATCACAGCATTTGCAAGTGTTGTAATGGAGTTTAGTTCGGTCAGTTTTACAAGCATGGACAGGGCAAGAAGTGCCTAACTCTGTCAGTGGGAGGGGGATGGGTCAGGGAAGTGTGTATCATAGGCTGTGGTTACCTGGCTGGGTCTTGAAGGAGTTAGCCAGATGGATGAGTGGTAGGGGTAGAAGAAATAGCATAGGAAAAGAGATACAGGGTCGTGGAACAGCATGGCTCCTTGTGGGAGCTCCAAGGAGCTGGAATTTGGATGTGTGAAGCTGTGGTAATTCTAGCAGGGTAGCCAGAGGCCAGATCTTATATACTTCGGTACAGAGTTTTGTCCTGATTCTGTATGTGGTGTTGGGAAACCATGATCTTTATTCTGTGGATGGTATTGGGGGTTACTGAAAGGATTTTAACCAGAAGAGTGGTAGATCAGATTTATGTTTCAGAACACTCACTAAAGAAAAGATATATTGGCTTAGTTAGAACACAAAAAGTGATAACTGGAAGCTCTTGAAATTGTTCAGGTAAGAAATGATGAAGAGCTATTCTAGGACATTGGACATGGGGATGGGACTGGGTGAATTTGGGTAGTAATTAATTGACAAAATAGATTAGGCTTTATAATGTGTTGGATATGGTAGGTGAAGAAGAGGTAAAAAGCCAGAATGGCTCCCAAGTTTGTGGCTGGTGACCAGGTGAATGCCGTACTAAGAAAATGAAAATTACGGCTTAAAACAGATTTGGGCAGCAAGATAATGAGTCCAGTTTTCCATTTATCATACTAATGTGCCTTGAGGGCATCCAAATAGAGATATTTGGTAGAGAGCTGCATACCTCAGTCACAGGCCCAGAGTCAAGATCTAAAGGGGAAGTACAGACTTGGGAGCCTGTGGTAAATGAAAGATTGGGAAAATCGTGGCAGTGGGGCAGGTCATTCTAGAGGGCAGAGCTGATAATTCTCAATGAAGCCCTGGGGAAAGGCCAGCATCTAACCAGTACCCCGAGAAAGAGAGGTCCACAGAGCAGACAGAGGAATCAGAACAGGGAGGGATCCAGGAAAGTGTGGAGTCCCTGCAAGAAAAATGGCCCACAGTGAGAAATTCTGGGCTGTGTGATAACAACTAAACAACATTCTTTGGAACTTGCAGTTCTAATTACACAATAGAAAATAAGCATT